TGAAGGACAGACATTAGACATAAACTGGTTTAAACCTGTGACAGAACATAAGTTCAATGCACATAGACCAATTTCAAAATGGTTGAAACTGGTTTAAGATAAACTTGGTTGCATGTAGTATCAGACTTGACTGATTTGGCTCAAACCAGTTTATGCAATGTCTGTCTCAGACCCCTTTCTGGTTTAATTTAAACCAGAGTCCCCCAGCATCCCAAATGCTTTGCAGCCCTGAGCTGGGCTCTCTGCTCCAGAGAACAGGCTGGTCCTGCCCCTCTCCTCCCTAGCCAGAGCTCCAGGGGAGACTGCAGGGTTTGCCTGGCTTTTCTGGCTGATTGCTGCTCAAGCATGAATTCCCCCCTCCTTCCCTCCCTCCCACAGCATGGACCCCAACCTCACAGACCTTAGGCCTGTGGTATGGCTGAGAGGTGTCTGTGTGTCTCCAATTTCAGACAGACAGAACAGTGTCCACTTAGGGCTTCTGGGAGCTAGTCAGCTGGTAATGTCCCTCCATTCCTTCCTTGGAAAAAGCTGTTTAAGAAGAGCTTGAACTAATGAGAGAGGCTTTTGTTTTGTTGATGGGCTGATAAACACTGTTATCAGCCCCCTGATGGTTTTATCAGCCCCCTGATGGTTTGCAGCCCTTTCAGGTTTGCAGACAGTATGAAGAAGCAGGGAGAAGGAGATTGAAAAGCTCAATATCATCAACAGATGCATGCACTGCACACACCCTCTTTGCCTCAGAGTGGTAGCCCAAGGCTGGGGTCTGGCAACATTCCTGCCCCTTGGGCAGTGAGTGGGGAAAAGCCTGGGACAGTGCAGGCCAGAGTGGGGGTTTACACCCCTTTCTAATCAGAGTGTCCTGCCATTGCCTGGCCACACCTCCCCTCAGCTCAGCACTGTGGAAGGGGGGGCTGTTCAAGTACTCCCTGGCTTGTAGCCTGAGCCACTGCAAGTATGTGCCTGCATTTCTTCAGTCCAGAGGGAATGTTTGTATGGTTGCAAACCGGTTCAACCTAGGTAGGTTAGACTGACCTGCAAAGATTAATTCAGTTCAGGCTCAGGTTTTTTGAATGTCTGTCCCTATTCCAAGTGAGGTTGTCAAATAGGCTGTTAAGGTTGTGTTCACTGGCAAAGTGCAGAAGGATGGAAATGGCATAACAAGATACAGCTCTGGGTACACAGGGAAGAACAAATTGTAAGTGGCCTTGAAAGGGCATAAAGCTTGTGTTTGATGTGAAAGTAAAAGGAGAAGCAATGGTAAGATTGAGGGAAGGAGGTGTTGTGATTATAACAGCAAGCAAAGATGATCTTAGCAGCAATGTATTGAAAAACTCAGACTGGGGCAAGGGAAGTATCAGAGAAAAGGAAGCTGCAGTAATCCGTGAATGACAGTACGCTGACTGGAAGGTTTAGCAGTGTGGACAGCATAGAAATGTGGCTTCAAAGGAGTCCCCCCTAAGCACAGAATTATAGAAAAGTAGGGCTAGAAGGGACTTCAGGAGGTTTTTATTAGCATATGATGATACAGTGATCACAAAGCAAAGAGAAACACATTCACAATTTTATGTCCACATTTGTAGCCAGCTGATTGCCTCAGGCCTGCCACTGTGCAGATCCAATAGAGTTCCATTATATGCATGAAGAGGGCATTCAGAGATGATGTGATTCAAAGTTTGAAAAAGAGCAGCACAGTCATATTTTGGTGAGCTAGTCCAGCCCCACTGATGTAACAGAAATCCATACCTGCTGTGTCCTGTCCTGATGCAGTTTAGAAAAGACCAAAGATGTCTAGGGAGATTATATCCAGGTGGTCTAATGGTGGGATTTGTAATTATAATTTCTGTATTTGGGGGTGAACTGAGCCGCTCTTGCATCCAGGCATCTGGGATGTTAAATGAATCTTGCTCAAGTTGAATTGCTGTTCTTGGAGCGGGATGTCTAAATTTTAATCTCGGATGCAGTGGGTTTAAGTGATCTTAATGTATAGGCATCTGTGGGTTATTTTTTATTTTAGCCCATAATTTAGCTAAGGTATTTTTTCTTCTTAATGGGGGAGGATGTATATTACAATAGGGAGACACTAAAGAGGGGTGGATAGGATTGTTCCTGTGATGATTTGCTTGGTTGAGTTGGATGTCAACCTTATCAGTGTGAGCATTGTTTGATCAGATTGGGACACCATATTCTGCCAAAGAGTAGACCAGTGCCAGGGCTGTTGTTCTCAGTGCATCAGCATCGGGTCCCCAAGAAGTCCCAGTGAGTTTCTGGAGCAAATTATTATGGATTTTTAACTAAGCTGCTGTCATAGGTAAGTGAATTAATAGGATAGAGTTCTATCTAGGACAATTCCTACATATTTGAGAGTACTGTTGTAACATAGGAGCTGATTTCTGAAAACAATAATGGGTTGATAATTAGCTTGTTTACTGTTCAAGTGAAATGTAGACACTTCTGTTTTTCCAGGGTTTGGGTGCAGAAGTAGATGCCTAAAATATTCAGATCAGATGTGAATATTATTCCTGCTCTGGAGGCACATGGTTGTTGTATACCAAGGCTGTCATCAGCATATATGAATTTTCTTGAGGAAGAACCTGAGAGGTCATAAATGTAAAGATTAAACAACAGAGGCTCAAGGACTGATCCCTATGGAAGTCCATTGTTCAATTTATGTGGCCTACTCTGAATGTTATCAGAAAAAATCTGGAACCATCTATTGCTAAGCATGTTGTCTAGTAAATTAGAAATTTTAAGACAAAGTATGATGTTTAAGAACTTTAAGATGAGTCCTTGTCTCCTGAGTGTATCATATGCAGCTGAAAGATCAAAGAAAAGAGCTACAGTTTTAGTGACTTTTCAAAGCCATTTTCTGTATTGGTAGTCAGGGCCATGATTTGACTGCAACATCCTCTGTTCAATCTAAACCTTGCTTGCTCAGGGGGAATATGTTCATTTATAGTCTGAAAAATTATATTATACATCACTCTCTCTAATAATTTGTAAGTTATACCTAAAGGGTGGTGGTTCTCAGCTTTATTGAAACCCTTGCCAGGTTTTAGTACTGCTATTATTTTGTCTTCTTTAAATAAGACTGGTAATTTTCCAGTTTCCAAAATATGGGTAAAAAAACTTCACTAGCCATTGAATGGTTTTTGGACCACAGCATTTTAAAATTTTTGTAAGTGTTTCATTCATGCCTGCAATTTTACCTTCCTTTGTAGCTCTAAGAGTCTTCTGCATCTCATGTATAGTAAAAGGTTGGAGAAAGAAGAGGATGATGCAACAGAGTGTTTCTTTGTCTTTAAATGTGATTTCACTTGTCTTGAAAAAAGCTTGTCAGTCGTAGCCTTGGACAGGGCAACAATATGATTGGCTGTTGCTTCCAATCTAACGTGGGTTTTAGGTCTTGAAGCTTCAATGCTTGAGTCCAATCAATCTACCATAGCCCAAGCCTTCCTACTTGAATGGGTGAACTTAAGCTTTGCCTTTGTATGTATCCATTTTTCTCTTTGAGCCTTGTCCAGAGAGTGCAAGAGCTCGTAGCAGTTGTAAACTCTACAACTGCTTTTTTTAAAAAAAAAAACCTCTACAACTGCAATTTTTTTAAAGAAAAATTTAAATTTTTCTTTAAATTCCTCATGATAAAGACAATCACTTTTTTCATTCCACCCTGGTATGTTTTCTTTTCTAAATCCTCTTGGGATACATCTCTTAGCCACTTCTTTTATTACACCCACAAATCTCACATAACTTTCACCTGTGGATTTTATCCTTATCCATCTTAAAGTCAGTTTGCTTAGCAAAGGAGATCCAGTCAGCTTTATTAAAGTTCCAGCTGGGCTTTGGAATTGATTTGATGATTGGAATTTGAATTCCAACTGTAAATAAAATTGGCCTATGTTGACTGTGGGACATTATCAAGAACTGTGGGCCCTGTTGTGTTGAGAGATCTGTCATGAAACACAATTCAGGCATAGAGTCTTGTTGCCAGTGGCCTGAGTGGAAAATAGCTCTATCTTTTGCATTATAGCTTAATACAAGTTGCTCTCCCTTCATCCAATCTAGAAGTTTAATCCCATTTTGGTCACTGTAGCAGTATCCCCAAAGACTGTGTTGACTATTAAAGTCACCTAGGATGATTCTTGGATGATGTAAAGGAGGTAAGGCAGGGGTTGGCCATACAACATCAGGTGGTTTGTAAACGTTAATTACTGTCATGTCAGAAATTTGGACTAAGGCTATGTAAATGCCATCAGTGCAGCTTGTTGATATGACTTTATAGCTGTCAATATTATTTTTAATATAAATTGCCACGCCATAGGTGGAATGATTAATGGATGCAGCCATTAATGGGTGTAATATAGATTGTCTCCTCATGGTGCACCCTGGATAATGCTAAATAGTCTACAACACAATGATGCTGAACTGTCCTTAGGACCTCACAGTCAATGATCACTTCAGGAAGTCATCTAACCCAAACCCCTGCTCAGACAGATCATCTTTATCCTAAGCATGGGGAATATCAAATGCCCTTCTCTCTGCTCTGCAACCTGGGGGCAGCAAGAATAACTCCACACATCACAGGATAATCTGAATTGCAATTCTTCCACTACTGTTTCAGACACACAACAGGGCCAGGAATGCCATTTGCCTCAAGCAAAGGAAAAGCACACACATGCAATAGACAGATGGGCATTAGTTATTAGACTTTAGCATTGACTCTGAAGCATTGACTGAATGTTGTAGACCAAGGGCAATGACACCTTGTCATTTCTCAATTAATGGATGACAAAAAAAGCTTTTATCTCCAGCAAGCAGATATGGGGTATACTTTGTTAGATGCCAGCCTTAGTTTATCCCATCACCTTTCTTTTGTCCTGAAATAACTGTTGGATGGCACATAGAATTTCTATCCCTTCCACTCTGTCTTTTCAGTATGACCATCTTCAACCTCATGCAGAAATGGCACCATCACCCACCTCTGCTGGTATCAGCAGGGAACAATGCCTCACCTGCAGGTCCTTGTGGAGACATTGCAACGAGGTGGGTTGACACTACAGGCTTTGAACATCCTCTGATGTTCCCATTGTTCCTGAGCACACTACTCTCATGCAGTGTGCAAAGCAGGACATATTGAGATACACATCATTGCACACTGATTACACTTTATTTGTCAGGTGCCACCACCCTAGAGGGTAAAGAGGAGGAGCTGGCAAACCTGTCTTTTGTGATTCTGTCTTTCTTGCTCAAGGATTACCAAATGTGTGATTCATCAAAGCACAACATAATGCAAGACACTACTGCTTCTATCAAAGTTGACCAGAAAATGCTTCTCTCAGTTACCCATGACATGTTGTGGTTTGCCAGTAACAAACATATATCTCTCTCTGTATCCCTAGGTACCTTTCAAATAGCACAATAACAAAGTGTCTGTCGTCTAAGAAGAGTTGAGCAAAATTTTGCATTCCCATTCCACAATTTCCAGCATTTCAACAGTTATTTCTGTTCCAAAATGGGACCTAAAATATGCAATGTTGACATTTTCTATGGAATAGAAATTCTGAAAAATGTTGATTGGGCAATATGAAAATGGTTTGTTTTGATATTTTTGAAGGAAATAAAAATTCCAACATTCTTAAAAATGATGTTTGGTCTGATGTATTCTAATGACCCCAAGTACTTCTCTTTCAAATTATTTCAAGTTTAAGCTAAATTTCTTCATGGTAATGTACTGCATTCTGGGAGTTGTGGTCCAGGAGCTTCATGTTCTCATTGTTCCGTATGGGCCTCACTCTCTGACTGAACTGTAGGCACATCTACATGTGCAATTAATGCAAAGCAATAAACTCTGGACCAATAAAATCCTGATTTTATTGCTGTTTGCACATGTACCCAGGATTACAGCACATTGAGCCAGGTTGGAGCAGCCCTGGTTGGCAGGGGGGCCCATGGGTCAGCCTGCCAGCTCAGGCCTGCTCTGACCCTGTGCAACATGATGCAGAGGGGCTGGCTGGGGCACAAAGATGCTCCAGTGCAGGGCTAGCCAGCAGGCATCCCCCACACTGAAGCACCCTTGTGCCCCGGCTGGCCAAGGCAGCATCTACACATGCACTGCAGTGAAGTAAAAATTTCTGCAACAGGATAGTACTTGTATTTACAATTACTATCTGCTGCGGAGTAAATTAGTTTACTCCAGCCTAATAGGGGCACATTTATAGACACTGAGATGATTACTGCACAGCTAATTAGTTTAATGCACAGTAAACATCTTGTGTAGACATGTCCTCTATCTCCTTCAGTATACCAGGTGTGGCTCCCATGATGTGCCACACAGCCTGATCAGAGAGAAATCAGTTCTTTGCTTGATGGGACATAACAGTTCTCCAGGAAAGCTAGTCTATAGGAAAGAATAGGGTCCTAACAACAACTCTCGCAGGGCATCATTCTACAATAAGAGAATGCAGTTTAATGTTTCACTGAATTGATTCAAAATGAAACGTTTCAGGATCCCTCTGAAAAATGAAACTTTCTGATTTGGGCTTCATTACAATTTCCTTGATGAAAAACTGGAACATTTCTGCAAAATCCAAATCTTTCTGTGGAAAAGTTTTGATTTTGCAGAAATTGCATTTTCTGCCAAAAATCATATGCAATATCCCCAACTAGCTCTACTTAAAACATCTAACGAAAATGTAGGGAAGACAAGACTACAGCTTTAGCATTATGAGACTTCCTCTTTCTCCATTCAGGAAGCTAACAAATATCCATAGCTTAAACACAAAACACCAACAGAATAACAGAGAGAGAAAACAATCCAAGGCCTAATCCTGCAATATACTGAGCACTCTGACTTCCCCTTGAAACATTAGATATATATGAATATTTAAATGCTGGTAGTATTTCTCATTTAGTTATTTTAGATACCCCAAAAAAGAAGTAATGCCATTCTTCACTGGGAGCTTTGTTGGTATATTCTGTGGGATTAACCAGTAACTCAGAAAGTCTAATGCATATGCAGGACTTTCATTTGCTTCTGTGACAATTTGCCAGAGGCCAAATTGAATTGTACTTGCATAGGAAGTAGTAGCATTTTTTTTCCCTTTTTGGTAAGCACAAGCTCAAGTAAAACAAGCCTATTTAGTAGCCCAGAAGCAGTTTATACCATCTCATCTGCTCAGAGGAGGTTTCACTCCACTCCTTGCCATGTTTTCCTTTTAAGATTTTTGTACCAAAAAGGCAGGTTTTCTTACACGTTTTGAAGCTTTGTAAGAGTGGGTGTAAAAGTAGGACCTAGTACAGCAAGAGAAGTGTCTCTGCTGACTTCAAGTAGTTACTAAAGATCTTTAAGCACTGATTAGATACACTCTTT